AAACTTTGAGTTTGCAATAAAATGATTTCAAATTCTCGCTTACAAATAACTTTGCTTTCTTTTTTATTTAAAAAATTCAATATAATAAAAAAGTGAATCAATATTAAAGATACACTGAAATTATATTCTGTCTTGTTTAGTTGTTTCATATACGCAAAGGCCGTCGCGTTTTAAAGCCGTTATAAAATCAATATTTAAAACAAACTTACCTTCGTTAACGTCGGCTCCCTTCTTTTAGCCGATTCTTTCGCAGTTTCTTTCTGAGAGAGCTTTTGAAATTTACAAAATATTGCAAAAATGCGAGTAAAAATGAAATATATTGAAATATATTTGAAATGGGGCCCACACATACTCAAGATGGTGGCGAAGGTAAATAAAATGCTTGGTATCCTCAAACGCTCATGCTCTGACATTAACCACACCCAGGTCAGACGGACCTTATATCTAACGCTAGTTAAATCTCAACTTGTTTATGGAAGCGAGGTATGGTGCCCTCCTAACAACAGCCACTTATCAAAGAAAATCGAAGGAGTTCAAAGAAGAGCAACGCTGTGGATACTAAAGAAGAAACGCGGAGAACTAAGTTACAAACAGCGCTTAATGCAACTAAATGTATGTACGGTCTCACAGATTTTGACATATCGCAGTATGTAGAAGTTACAACGGGAAGGACACGCGCGGCCACTTCTGGTCTTCTGAGAACACAAGCATGCAAAACAAGTACATTTCAAAGTTCGTATTGTGTTAGAATTGTTAAACTGTGGAACTATGTTTGTACGTCTGTTCCTTCGTATTGTTATGTCACTGTCTCCTCTTTTAAGTCATACTTGCGCAAGACTTACATCCACCTCACTAGTACTTCTTACACTCCTGACTTACCTAGTTCACACTCACTTATCACGACTCAATAAAAATATCTAACATTTCTCTCTTTGTCTTTTCATTCTTTCTTCCTTTTCATTCTCTTAGTCTTTTCATTTAATCTTCCTTGTCCCTGTTTCTTGTCTTTGTTTGTTGTCTAGTGGTGAGCACCTTGCATGGGACATAGTGTCGTTTGTGTTTCGCCACTTTTGGCACTTTCCTCGTCTTCTTGTACGATGTAATTGTCCGTTTAAGTTATGTAAATATTCGCAAGAAATTTATCAATCATGAATCATCAAATCAAGAAATGTTTGCTATTTCGGCGCTGTCGTGATGCAGTCGTTTATGCAAACTTTAAATTGGACCAATCAGTGTCCGCTAGTCATGACAGTCCGCCATATTTTTGAGGTCAGTGAGGATGACCACCCACCCAACACCGTTGGTGACCCACGCCCGCGATATTTGATGAACTTTAGACTCCGCTAATGCTTTCGTTTCCCCGGGTGTAAATAGCCGGGGGGAATTAGTATCCTCGCACGGCGCTTAGCACCGTCGGCTCGGGGATAATTCAGCACTTGTCCAATTACATATTTTACACCAAAAAATATGGTTTAAACTTTCAGAGATTTCCTTCATTGAAACTTACGAACAAGTTTAATACACTGCGTTCATATATATGGTAAATATATGGTATATAGCGTTCATGCATTATGTGAGCTGGAATAATCCTTAACCAATTGAGTTACATTGCGCCCTGATACACCCATTTTATTATTTTACTCTGTCTTACGCCAGATTATTTTACTCTGTTTAACGCATGACGATTTTACTTGTCAAGGAGAGAGCATTGGCAATTAATGTACAGTGGTTCCTGTAAGAAAGTGAATTGGTAGAATATACAACTATTTCAATTAAGGTTGTCCACGAGCAAAGCGGAAAAGTCGAATACGAGCGCGAAAGGCTTCTGGGAATCGCTAACAAATTAATGAATTTTCAAAGCGGTTCCCAGCAGCCTTTCGCGCTTGTATTCGATTTTTCTGCTTTGCTCGTGGACAACCTTAACTGAAATAGCTGTATTTTTGGAACACTTCCATTGTTACAACTACAGAAGAGATTTTTAGAGAATTATCTACCAATAATATATATATATACGTCTGTGATTAATGTCTTTGATAATATCAGAGCCGTAGCTAGACCGATAACAGGGGGGGGGGAGTGTATATTCATACTTTCGTGTTCTGCCCGTATGGTACGGTATGTGAACATGAATTTATGAATCTACCCCCGCCCCCCAATTATCGAGTATAGCTATGGCGCTGCGCTTTATTGATATAAATAAATATATGTCTTTGGTAATATACGCCAGTGGAGTAAACTCGGTCATCTCTGTCGTGTACTACTTAGAGATTGCATTTCACGAGGAGTGAAGAGGAAATGGAGGACTTGTGTCGTCAGCAGTCCTTTTTGTATGCCAAAATGGTATACAATAAATAGTATCGTAAAGCATATTTTTTATTGTTATCAGGAACAGGAAGTCTCGCAGCACTTCCTATTTGAATGTTCAATTGGGCTGCCGGCCCTAATTTAAGCTGACCTCCCAAGTTCAAATTCCTCCCCCTTAAAGTTGGGGTCTCTTTCACATTTCTGATAAAATTCTATTTGATGAATCTAACGCGTCTTCTAGTCCTAGTAATTAGAAACGAAATTTGAGATTTCATGCAATAATTAGAAAATTATTTATAGTAATATTTCTGTACCATTCTGCATGACCTTACCTTAATTATATAATTAAAGTTACTGAATAATGCACGCCTCTTTGTTACTATTGCATTTAATTTCTTCTTATAAACATTGTATGTCTGTGTGCATTGTTTAGGAAAGTATGTTGAACGTCTCCGTGGTGCTGACAAGAAAATTGAGACATTTCCGTGTCCAACATGTCGTTCGGAGTTCACGCTCAAATCAAACCAAGATGTCGCTGAACTGCCAAGCAGTTATTTCATCAAGAATATGCTAGAAATTATGGCAATTCAACGAAAAGCAAAAACATCTACCGCATGTTCCCGCTGCCAAGATCCTGCCATTAATCACTGCGCATCATGTGAAATGTTTATGTGCAAGAAATGCTCAGAGTGGCATGATAGCTGGCCTGCCAACAAAAATCATAATGCGCTATCTGTACAGGAACTGAGCAATCCTGAAAGTCAAGTGAAGATGAGAAGAAAACTTTATTGCGCAAAACACGAAGACAAAATACTTGAATATTATTGTGAAACATGCAAAGAACTTTGCTGTATAGATTGTGTAGTGTTAATTCATACCAAAACAAACCACTCGTGTGTGGCAATGCGCGAGATCAAACAGAAACAAAGAGAAACATTGCAATCAAGCTGCACAACACTTGATGAGAAATTAGCTGAAGGAAAGAAAGCATTAAACAACATTTGTGAGGTGATGAAGTCTCTTGAAAAAAATGCTGAAACGGCTAAAGATCAAATCAAAGAACAAAAGGAAAATATCTTGAAGATTGTGGCAGAAAAACTTGATGAGAGAGCAAAGAAAATGAATGACGACGTGGACAAGGTTTATTGTGAATTACAGAGTGAACTGAGCAAACAACATGATGAAATGAAAGATTATCTTGATAAAGTCCAAGCTTCAGTGTCCTTGCCAAAAAATCTCTTAAAGAGAGGAAGTATCGAAGAAATTATCTCATCGCAGAAATTGATTGATGAGAAAATTGAGAAGTTGACCAATCAACAACCAGAGAATCTGGCCGCAGTGAATGATGGTAGTATTCAGTACGCACCAGACGACATTGGTAAAATCAGTGTTGATGAAATTGTTGATAAGTTGGGACATGTGGAAGGTATGTGCAATTTACGGTATCTTACCGTCAGTACATTATAGAGTTTCAGATTTGACTTCCACTACCGCTACCACTAACGGACGATCAACTAATCAAATGTGTTTGATATATTCGTTAAACCAATCGGATACGTACTAAGACAGTGAAAAGTAGTGGTAGCGGTTGTGGAAGTTAAATCTAAACCTATATATTATCGTCAGTTCATAAATTATTTAAGGATACACAAGAATTCGTTTTCACCAGGAATTTTTATTTTTTTATGTCGATTTTCAGTTAATTAAAATGTTGTTTATTTACTCTAGTTTTATTCCTAATTTACGGAAACCGCTTTTTACATTATTTTAAATTTAGTTGCTATTCCATCACAAATATCTGCTATTACATAACAGATATCTTGTAAAGATCTTTTGCGGCTTACATAAAACTCGTTGTTTACTGTAGGTGGTGTTCCTGCAATGTACAATCTTATAAAAAAGTCATCCAGTATTTTGAAAGGAGAGATTGCCTTCATGAAACACCTAAAGAAATGGTTGCGTGAGAAGTGTAAATGGAATCTTTGTTACAGAGCTTCCAGAGATGGTTGGAGTTCCCAGGATTTTCACAAACATTGTGACAATAAAGGGCCGACAGTGGTTTTGGTAAAAGCCAATGATTGTATTTTTGGAGGATACACTGACCAAAACTGGGATTCAGGTATGTAAGAAAAGATTTATATATTAATATTTGCATCATTTATGAGAGCTATATAGTTCTTCAGCAGACTGCATTTCAACCTCTTGTGGACGAAAGACCCTGGTCGGAGTTGGTCACGTATCACGCAGATTTTGCAGGACGAATTGATATTGATCTCAGGGAGGGGTGGTAGAGGAGTCTGTTTGTTGCGTCTGTTTACGTGTTATAGTTTTGGGTGATAAAATGTAATTTCCAACAAGAAATCGTGAAAGAAACTGTTCTAAATTCGTATTTATCATGACCCGACTTCCTGCTATACTGAATGTCACCAATAATAAGTTTTGCGTTACATTTCATGCGAGAAGCTGGATCATATTCCACTTGCAAGAAAAGGACTCCAGGCGCGCCTGGCTTACGAAGTTCAGCACGCTTCGCTGTACTGCCTGTAGAAACATACATCTCTTCAGTGGCGGAAACTAGGAGGGGCCAGGGGGGGGGGGCGATCGCCACCCCAATAATTTCAGCTAGCTTTCATGTTGAAGAATGTAACATGCGGGCTCACACGCTATACCTGGCCAATAAGGAGCTCCCGTAGCCGGATGACATAAAAAAATTACACGTATAATGCACTTTTACCTTTAGAATCGATTTCTGGCATTTCCAGAGTCATACGATAGAAACGTCACATTGTTTTGACATTTTGAAATTGTATTTCCGGTTGGAATTAGCTCACAGTCGAACCAGAAATGGAAATACCGTGATAAAGATGCAAATTGGAAGATATAGCTCAAAAATGACACTCTAAATCGTGTCTTTGATAGTGATTCGAACAAGACTAGCTATTACAAAGAAGATACGTCTGAAGGGGCTGAAGTTATGTTCGGGGAAAGGTATGACTAGCCTATATTATTACGATTTCGCGGAATTAGTTGAGTGAGGAATTAATTGATATTGTTTCACTGAATTGAATGGTGGTATTATTGTCTCCATAGCATGCACTGAACCGAAGATGTAAACATACAAATTCGTCAGCTTCTAGAAGTTGACATGCGTGGGACTTGTCGAGAAAGAGTTAAACCACCATAGCATATGATTGATAACAAAATGCCCCATTAAATTAATGTTTTGAAAACCTGAGATTTCTTACAAAATGTGCTCTCAGAATGCTGCAAATAGTTATCTGATATCACACGAACGCCAAGACACGTCCGCGTTTCCGTGTACCAGACTCTGGTATTGTTCTTTTAATATAGTAAATTATTTCATATTTCATGTGTTACAGTAATTTACAGCAGGTACATTATAAATCTTATAAAGACATCTCATTGGTATTGCCCATTGGGCTTTATTTAATAATCCAGCTTAAAATCCAGCTTCTTTCAACTTGTATAATGCGCAGGGTCGTTGTGAAGCCATCAACATTGGGGGGGGGGACAAATTTTTCCCGTAAATGTTGTTGACGGGGTGGGGAGTCAAAAAACATTTTCGGAACTAACATGAAAGCACAGTCTAAAATTTTCCGGACTAACATAAGCAGCCTAAAAATATTTTCTGCACTAACATAGACATATTCAAAAATTTTCTACCAAGATAAGCAAAGCTTGCAATTTTTTCACCACAAACATAACAAGAGCTTTAAAATTGTTAAAATTGCGAACCATTTCATAACTTTGAGCAACTCCGACCATGTCTTTATCCCAAACTTTGACCACATTTGTCCGAGTTTTACCTTCAATTTTAAGCAAGTATCAGTTCCATTTTGACCAAGTTTGGGCAAATATCAGTTCCATTTTGACCAACGTTTGAATTATTGGGGGGGGGGGGGTTACACCACCCCCTTTAGCGACGTCCCTGATAATGCCGCTGTGAATCTTCAATATCTATATCATCTTTATCGTATACTGTAATCGACATTTTAGAAGTTTCACCAAATGATACTGGAGGCAAACAACCTATCTATCAATGGAAACTTTAAAAGGCTTAAAAAACTCATTACATACTTGAGTATATCTATGAGCGAGACTTCGTACGCACATACAGTTTATGAGTTATGTATATATATCCCTGATAAAACGTGGGGACACTTTATACCAGAATAATAAATACTTTTGCTAAACCTTATCGGCTATCATTCCTTTGCATTTAAGGGGCGAGGGTGAATGGCGAGAGAATTATATAGGAGATGCTGTGTAATATTTTGGCTTCAACATACAGGTACTCGTGTAGACAAAAAAGGAAATGCATACAGTTGTAGATTGTGACGATTGTCGTATAATTGTGCACTGTCGATCCCAAACAATTTTGTACGTTAACACTCCTTCCTTACCTGGTGTTTAATATAAACGATGATAACTTTTTTTTTAAGAATATCTAGAGCGCTATGTGTATAAACGGTTTCAGAATCATTAGAGAGGTTAAGATACCCCGGTTTCGGTGTACGGGTACGAGTAGTGTCATCTTGTTTTACTGATGTCTCTAATTTAATCATACTTTTTCTGTTTTCTTGCAATAGACAATGATATAATGCGAAAAATGTGCACCTTAATTACGAGTAAATGTACAGACATCGACGAAAATATTGCTAACCAAAATCATGCTACCCGTACACGTTCACCGAAACCGGGATATCTTAACCTCTCTAATAGAATGGACATTTCACGTCTATTTGGCTAGTGTCCAAATGTGTAACGTTTGCTGTGAGACCCAAGGTCTACGACCTACACAGTCGCTTTTGAAACCTCTATAGTATTTAACAAGTAAATAAATGCAAGGTATATACCGTTTCCAATTGACAACAATTCAATGGCATACATGTATTATAAGAATATTATAAATATCTGAACCAGAGGCAGAACAGAAACGTATGCGCGAAATGAAACTGCGCCCGAACTCCGACAATAAAAGAGCAAATATTTCAAAGCATACGATCATACGTTTTCATTGCTTGATTTCCTGACTTGTCTGTTGCTATATGAATCTGCACTTTGGCATGTTTGTATAATTTAATAGTAAACAAAAACCAAATTTAGCAAGCATTTTGAAGTAATTATGATTCTCAAAGATGATCGTACTGAACAGTCACTCCTGGCAATCGAAGTGTGAAGTGCGGAAGTGGAAACATGTAATATGAGATTTTTCCCTCACCCTCTTAAAAGCGCGTTTCTTTTGTAAATCTAGATTTGGATTTTTAGGATTCGGATTTTTGGATTCGTTAAACAAATGGAACGAATTGTGAGAATCGGAATTCGCCTGCTGTTTTCCCGCCATTTTTACAATAAGTTTTCTGTCCCACTATACCTTTCGGTCGGGTCAAGGTAGATGCTAGAAGGCCAGAAGCTCAAAAGGAACGTTGAATCCTAATCAAGTTTCAGATTGAATCCGAAAAATCCATATGTTGAGGTGGACTCATCAGATTCGAATCTATTTAAGACTTTGTCAAATGAAACTGAAAATCGACAACTGATCGGATTTGAAAATTCAAATCCGGACTGCACTAAAGGAACGCTTCCTACGGCTATCTATTTTCTATGGGTCACGTGACCAGCTCCGACCAGGGTCTTCTCCATAAGAGGAAAGAGCCTGGGAACGAGGTTGACTGCATTAATGATATTTAAGACTGTGTTCGCACAATATCGGACGAATACGTAAATTCGTTCAGTTCCATTTGTTACATAGGAATTCCTAGGGTTAGCTGTGTTTGAATTTGTCCAGTTTCATGTGTCCCATGTGAACGCATAAGGTGATAGTCGTGAAATTGTGAGTATGGTTCAGAATTCGTTCAGTCCCGTGTGAAGAAGGGTCGATTGGGTTATAATCATACCGATCATGTCCAAAAGTAAATATTATAGAATCTATTAAATATTTTATTAAAATTTAATCATTAATTTTGTTCAATTTTAAGGTGGTAATTATAAACATTCCAACTCGTCATTTTTATTCTCCCTACGCAACAAAGACAACCTTGCTCCATTTATTGCCAACATCAAGCAAGGTCAGGAGCAGTATGCAATCTGTTGTTCGTCTGGTTATGGACCAAACTTTGGTGGAGGGCATGATCTGCACATTTGTGGCAATCCTCAAGTTAGGCAATCATACAGCAAATTTGGAAACACATATCAACTTCCGCCTGGTTATGTCTATAACAGTGAACAAGCAAATAACCTTCTTGCTGGTCAGTACAAATTCTTAACGACAGAAATTGAAGTCTTCAACTGAAAAGTGCCTTTGTTTACTTACTTCAACAAAAAATAACATTACATTGATTACGACCGCTCTTAGCAAAGAATTTTAGACAGTGATATTGCAATACTATCAGGGCCGTAGCGAAGAGGATAAAGAAGGGGCGTGTAGTATCAGATTTGCCGACAATATTTCCGTCGCTAATTAATATTTTTTGCCCAAAATTGTTTGCGAGGGGGGGGGGGGGGGGGGGGGGAGATCGCAAAATGTTTTTCCGGACAAAAAAAAATTCCGGACATATACAATTTTTTCCGGATGGCCAAAAACTTTTCCAGACATACCCAACATTTTCCACACATCAAAATTTGTTAACTTTTTGCGTAGTTTTAATTTTACTTTTTGCCTAATAGTATTACTTTTTCATCCGAACCACTCTAACTAATATTTTCGCTGCTTACGGTGTCGATTTGCCGATAAAACCGTTATTTTGCCTAAAAATCGTTTTCAGAGGGGGGTGTGTCACACCGCCCACACCCCCTGTAGCTACGGCCCCGAGTATTAAGAATTAGTATGAATATTTTAGTCATGCGGGAATCCTAAAAATTGGAATTGGTCGTTAGCCTAAATTAGAATTGGTCGTTAGCCTCACCAGTAGCAGTCACTGTAGTCAAGAAATGAAAGGCCTCGAAGAAAATGTGAACAACTATAATTGTTCCAGCAGGCAGTAATCAATTATATGTTGTTATTTTGGTTAATAAAACTAAAATCAACATTTAGGTGAATGTTCGAAAATTGTATTTAATTTTGTTACATCGCAATGATACAAAAACGGTGTCATTTGGCAGCTAAAAGCCTTACTATCTTTATTAGTGTGCGAAAAGTAAATCTATAAACTTAGTATCTATAATGCACGATAACATGCCGAAATTGTTTTTACCTTTTTTGATACACCTTGCACTATACATGTTGAAGGGTTTTAGAGATTTCCATCTACAAAAAACATTCAACATTTAATATATCGACTGAGATGCCTGAATTCCTGGTATTTACCCATATACCTTGCATTGTCATCACGTAGTATGTACTGTATACATGAACTTGTGGTTAAAGCTCGACAAGTGTATTCTGTAGCTCAGTTGGTTAGAGTGCTGCACCGGAATCGCAGGGTCGCAGATTTGATTCCAGTCAGAGGGCCTATATAGTTGCATTTTTTGCAGTTGCTCCTGGTTTGGTGTATAAACGTATAAAATTTACACTCGAGATTTCCATTTACAACAACCCTTCATCATTTAGTATCGAATGAGGTGTCCAAAATCCTGTATTATATGTATACCTTTTTCCTTGATCGTGATATAGTCATAATCAATGATTTGTAAGCTTTTTCAGTAATTCTTATATGTACATATTTTATTATAAACATGGCTGCCGAGAGGTTCTACACTGAACGCGGGGTAAAACTTTCCAAGGGGGGCCCTATGACGTCATAGTTGTAAAATGAGGGAAGCGTGTTTTACAATATATCAATATTATCCGACACTAACGCACCTAGGATTTATATTCTCAGTTAATCAATCTTGTATCGAGAAATTTTAAAGGGCTCCGTTGCTTTGAGGGCCCCTTTTGATTTGGGGGGCTTGGGGCAAAGTGTCCCTCACCCCTTTTGGCGGCCCTGATTATAAACTATTGCTTTAAACTGATTTATGCTGTACAGATCATGTAAATATTTTACAAGGAATCAAATTTCAAAAACCAAGTGGTTTCTAATAGGCACCTAGCCCTTTATGTAAGATTACTTTTAAATTAATCATTCTTATTGTTGCAAATGACAAAATAAATAATCGGAATGTCACAAACTATTATGCCTGATTGCCTAGTGTCCATAATCTTGTATTAATCCATGTCTTGGATTACTCAAAATGTTTCATTCGGACAATGTTTCGTTTTAAAAAAATGCCATATTACTCGCAATATAAGATGGGCTTCCACGCAGATCGAGGGGCTTACATACGACGGACGGGCGATTGGATACGAAAGTAATTTTGTGGTCGTATATATATACAGAGACATAACATTTCCTTGTATAATTAACAAAACATTATTTAGAATAGCATTTTTCCTGTTCAATCACTCAATTTTAAGCTCTTTGCTTATTTACGGCGGGGTAGGGGAGGGTTATGTATGGAATGAGCGTTAGTGAGTATGCTGGGCTGGTGGACGTAGTTGATATTTGGGGGTATTGAGGACTTATATTCGGAGGTATTCGGTAATACAACTCGCGCTAAAATTCTTGTTTGAGCTTTTTTGAGACACAGATCAGTGGCCATATATGCAACGGGAGGGTACGGTGGCGGAGCCAAAACCATAGCGACAGGTCATGCTATGCAAATTTTTAATAATTCAAACCTTTAGAAATGCATTGTCTTTATTAGCACAGCATGACCATTTGGTAGGATGTAAGTTTGCATTAATGTGAACCAGTGGTAGCATCAACCTACCTCCACGTAAATATAGATTCTTAATTACATTGCAGACAATCGATCACATTACAAATTTAAATGCTCAAGCGTAACCCATGCAGTTAATGCGCAAGATCTGACGAGTAGAATCGTCTGGCGTTAGACAGGGCAAAATAATAGCTCTAGCCGTACCAGAGCCTCTTAACCGCACAAAGACCCTGGGTACGAGGTTGATAGATTCCCAGTCCAAAGTCGG